TGTGTGGGAATTATACTTGATGCTAATAAAGATAGTACTGTTTACGATATTATTGTTCCTACAGGAGCAAATTATTTTGCATTTTTAGCACTAATTGGATTGTGAGTATCTACGACTCTCCGCAATTCGTTATATATGCGAAGACTAACCGAACCAGATGGTCTCTGGTGATGCATTGGATACTCGCCATTACCAATTCATGCAACGGACTTCGTTATGTCACACGTTTTTCTTGCGACATTTTTGGATTTTATGTAGCTTTCATCTACCTACAGAAAGGTATCCAAGTCCTGACTCGTCAAGGCTCGGGTGAGCCATTCTACCTTTCTATTGTTATCGCACTACTCGTTACCATCGTTGCATTCTTGTGTGGTGTTGTGGGAGACAGTCCATTATTTCAACACTATGTTCGAGTTTTTATCAAAGATTACGGAACACCTCTGACGATCATATTTTTCACTGGCTTTGTTCACATTGGTAAAATGAGAGATGTGGATCTAAGCACACTACCTACCAGTAGAGCCTTCTATCCAACAACCGATCGAGGATGGTTTGTACATTTTTGGGATGTTAGAGTTTCGGATGTTTTTATTGCTATACCATTTGCCATTTTACTCACAATCTTGTTTTATTTTGATCATAATGGTAATTATGAATTCTCCATCCCACACCAATTTTCCGTTACTGACTTGGCACAGTATCTTCTCTGATAGCCCAGGGAACTGAATTTCCCCTTCGGAAGCCTGCTGGTTTTCACTGGGATATTTTTCTCCTTGGCCTAACCACCGGTATAGCAGGTCTATTAGGTATTCCTTTTCCGAACGGTCTCATTCCACAAGCCCCGTTCCACACTGAGTCGCTTTGTGTCACCAAACTTGTTGCCGATACCGACGAATCAGGTGACTCGAAGGGTCATCTCAAAACAGTCACATCCCACGTCGTCGAGCAACGAGTGAGCAATCTAGCTCAAGGTCTCTTAACTCTAGGAACCATGACTGGCCCACTCCTCGTAGTCATTCATCTCATTCCCCAAGGTGTTTTGGCAGGTCTCTTCTTCGTCATGGGCATCCAAGCTCTCCTCGGTAATGGCATAACTACTAAAATTCTCTTCCTTCTCAAGGATTCCTCTTTAACTCCATCGTCTGATCCCTTACGACATCTTCCCCGTAGATCGGCTATTTGGATATTCGTCGCAATCCAACTCTTTGGTTTCGGGGCCACGTTTGCCATCACACAGACAATCGCGGCAGTTGGGTTCCCAGTCATCATTTTGGCGTTAATTCCTGTTAGAATCTGGGCGCTACCAAGGTGGTTCACGAAAGAAGAATTGAGTGTGTTGGATGGAGCGACGGCGAGTCCGTTTACGATGATTAGTGTAGGGGGTAATCATGGAGAAGAGATTGAGGAGGAGGGATTCTCGACTAGTGCTGATGTTGGTCGGGAGGGTGTCCTGGCGAATAACAATTCTGGAGAAAGTGGAGGGAATGGAAAAGGTGTGTTGGAAACAGAGGGTGATAGTGATGAAGGGCGAGCTGAGCGAGGAGAATTTCAAGCTGGTGGTCCTGGATCGGGACTGGCGAGGAGGAGAGAAAGCTGGAAAGGTGAAGGAAGGAGTGGGGGGTTGGGCGAGGGTATGGAGTTACAGAATCTAGGCATGAGTAGGAGAAGTGTTAGTCGACAAGCGGAGTAGGATCGGGTGTGCCGTTTTGGGGGAATAATAAAGCGTTCATTCCTTGTTATGAAGAGGAACTATCATTAGAGTCATTGGAAGGGAGGTTTAATTGTAATTGTATCCAAAGATATTCTTTATGGATTTAAGGATTTCTACGAAACATGAAAAAGAGTATATTGTTTCGCCTATCTAACACATTTCTCCTAGGCTGTAAAACATAGAAGCAAAAAATATCAATTGGATTACCATCCAAACATCCAGATTCCAGATTAGTGCTACTTCAACCAGACTTATATCTCCCTCTCCCTCTCCATTCACCTCAATAATAAATGAATCCAAACGCTGTAACGAATACTAGACTACATATTTCGATAAGTACACCACATCTAGACCAGCACACCCATATATATATATATATATATATTCCACACTAACCATTATAGAACAACTTGTTCTGAAAAAGACACACAAAACACAGGATAGCAATACCAAGACTCCGAAAAATTGAGTCGGAAATTCGAATCTTTTGGGAAAAATTCTCTATTACATCTGGATGAGATGAGATGAAATGAGATATGATGTGATGGGAATGTTCGTTCTAAGGCTGATGTACTCGATGCATTAATATCCTTCTCAGAATTGACGAATCGGATGATTCGCAATTCACAGATTTTCTTACTCGAAATGGGGATATTGATTAGGAGGATGAGTATATTATTGGAGGCGCAGGAGGGGTAGGTGTTGTAAGAGATATAACTATTCGAATTGGAAGTTGGCTAGAAATTTGATTCTCGTGAGTTGGGTGAAGTGGTGTTTCTTATGTGTGGGTTTTGTAATTGTAATTGTAATTGTGATTGAAAATAGTAACAGGAATAGGATTAGGGTTAGGAGATTATCAATTGAGCTTGGTGTTTGAGAAGGTATATGTGTATAATATGATAAGTATGATCTTGTGATTAAGGTATATTTTGAGAAGGAGGAAAAAATGATGAATTGTGAGAATGGAATGGAGAATGGAGGGGATTGTTTTGGTGAGGTGGTGTGGTTTTGGTTTTTGTGCAAATGATGAGGATAGATAGAGCTGGATGGATATGAATGGATGTAGAATAATAGGTAGGTAGGTAGCGTAGACAGTTGAAGATAGCCTCTTCTGCGTAAGCGAGATGAGGACTATGGGGTTCCGAATATTTGGATATATATTTATACGGTTCATCTCAATATTACTTCACTTGAATAGTAAATTCATCGATACCATTCTATTCCGAGGTATCCGCTCATGAAATTCCATGCACAAGGTGCGCTTCATCAGAGCTATATACGATGACAGTCCGTCCTGAAACTCCAAGTCCATATCCTCATACCGATCCATGAGATAGCTGGTTAAAAAGCCACTCAAAAACATATCTTCGCAGTTGCAGTCTTGTTGTTGATTGAAACTTCATAGCCAAACCCAAAGCCTAGAACTTCACATTCGATAACTCTATAGATTCTGTTGAAATCAAGTGACTATCACTTCCCTGTGGATATTTCTTCAAATTAGTAAGGATCCGAGGAATCTGATATATACTTCATATGCCCTCAATCTTCAATGCTCTCACTATTTCCTTGATTTTCGCAGAGGGATAGCGTAGGATCTGATACTATAGTTACATTACTTTACTAATCCTATTTGGGGTTCGTTTTATGTGATCAATAGATCTTCTATGATACTGTGATACTGTAAGACTTTGTATTTGTATTTGTACCTGTTTTAACATGAACAATACCTAGTTTGTATTTTCCCACAAGAACTTAGGAGAGTATGGAGTGTGATATACGTTGATGATGCTGAGTGTATGCTATTTTTTAAGTTTTGGCTTGCAAATTCTCATGTAGTTGTAATGTTAATTGTAATGGTAATTGTAGTGTCCGGTCTTCTTTTTAATTATTCTTTTTTTCTATTTCCGCTTTCTTCTCTCCTGGTAGTTTATTTATTCCTATATAGTATTCTCCTTCTTATGATGTATATCCTATTCCATACTTATAATATTACTAGGATTTCATATCCTAGATCTCATATCCTAGATTCCGTATCCAACCAACTCCATCAGGTCTATTAAATCTGTCACCTCATGGCCAACTCAGTCCCCTTCACTCCACTTATTCTCATCCCTCACTCCTCACTCCTCAATCTCTCTCCCTCTGATCTTTGTTTGATCCAACTCGTATACACACCATTTCCTTGTACTCACACACTATCCACCACATGATATCCACCCTATGATATATCCAATATACAACATACAACATCCACCAGACTCCCCCGTACCAACTAGATAATCCCTCTCATCCCCATTCCCATTCTCATTTTGATCCCCGTTCAATTAATACCTAGATATTCCAATTACCACACATATACTCACACTACATATATAGATACACATTCGACTCTAAACCCAAACAGACGTGATAATTCATAATTCTACTAGTCGAACTCGTATATGTATGTGACTTCATATGTCTATAACTGCACTAGGTAGTTGAATATGTATATGTAGGTATATCTTTGTGACTTCAAACAATTAATCTGATCACATAACAAAATACCGAGTCAAATAAGAAACAGAATATATGAAAAAAGTATAAAGAGTGGAGGTGTATATGGAAGTGAGCATAACATGTCATGATATGGCATGAGAGGAGAACTGGAGATGAGGATTGATGAACAAAGGGCGAGGTATGTGCACATGGGGCTGGAGGTGGAAAAGACTGGAGTCGAGATTCCGGAGTAGAAGAGATAAAGAGGATGCATGATGGATATGATACTGATGGGAGGAAATTGGCAAATAACCAATGGGAGGGAAAAGGGAAAGGTAGGGATAAGTGCTGTGAAAGGGTGGTTGTGAATGGTCTAGGTAAATCTTAGGTGTGGGGGTGGGACCAAGGGACCACGAGCAAGGACCCCTTATAGTTTGTGAATGCGGGCTGGTCGAGCTGATCTGGTTATGCTCTTTGTACTGATCGAGGATGCTGAAAAACATTCCCAAAGCTGGATATCCGATTCAAGTACCAAGTCCTGCTAGAGACCTTTCTAGACGTTTCAATCCATATCCCATGGAGATTCAAGATGAGCGTAATCACACCCATTCACAATCACAAAGGAAATCCACTCGAAACTCCAATAATATAACATGGAGATATCAACAAAACATCCCATTTCCTCACTGAGTCACTTTGCTATAAACACAAGGATCCTCTCTCAATCGCAATATATGCTATTCATTGAGCCGGCCTAGCAATCAGAAATGTTACGCCTCCCTTTTCCCAAGCAACATCCATCAGTTGTACCCTCCTGCCAAACCGAGCAAAGATTATCATTTCATTTCTCCATGCTCCTCTCTCATAAAAATTGCCATTCGTGTCTTAGATCGTGCGAATTCGGAATAAGTAGAGTAAGGTTTGGTGGATGGGCGAGAAGTGGAAAAAAGAAAAAATCGTATGAGCGTGGGTAGAGGTTGAGGAGAAGATGGAATGTTTTGCTGTTGAAAGGTGATGCATCTATAGACCGATACGAGTCTTTCTCCAGTGACGTCTCTTTGCGTTGTATCTATTGGATTTAATTAGTCAAATGATCGATCGGAGCTGCTGATATTCGATAATGATTCATCTCGACTTTATAAAGTCGAAAGTGGAATCGAAGAGGTGGAATTGTAATTTTGGTGCTGATGCCCGGGGGCATTCCATATCTTGAACATACCGGATGGTGTTACCAGTCCTCAAACGGATCCATTGTGGGATGGGTCTGTTTTGCTTTTGGGCTCTCGCAAGCTTCTGCTTGGTGCGGAATGACTTTTGGGACTGTAGACAAGTATCGAATTAGCATCTATATGATTTGTCGTATTTTTCATTTCCTCCTTGGCCAGGTCGTCTTGTTGATCTTGTTGGTATTCGAGTCACGATGTCGTGAATTCCATCTTGTAATTTCGCGCCCGTAAATCCTTTTTTTATCTCGAACCAATTCCAAATTCCCAGGTCAAGCGATTGAACGTATGCGTCATTCAGAAAAGGTAGTACATACCGGCATCTTGAAAAGTCGGCGTCGATATTGTCGTTGTCGTGCTGAACCAAAAGTCCGATGATAGAGGTTCAATGGATTCACACACCAAAAAATTCTGACGAGGGCTTTATTTCTCGGTTGCCCTTTCGATCGGCCTTAAGGCTCTCAGGCTGAAGCTTTGATTTTATGCACGTGAGCGGCTCGTGAGATAAAGCTATGACTAATCATCATCGGAAACCTGTGGCTCCGCGATTAGGATTGGAAATACGGTAAGGCGCTGCATCAAAGCAACATTTGAACAGTTGACCTCGTAAAACATAGATCACTTGAGTAAAAAGTCCTACCTTTTGACATTACAAGACACCTCAATTCTCGCGAACGATTACAACATCACGACGATTTACGACTTCTACAAATTTGATGATTATTGAGCAGAAGACTGGGACAAAGAAAGGAAGATTTCAGGAAGACAAGGATAGGGGACAGCTAAGCATAGTTGTTTAAGAGGTCGACTTTAAGAGGAACAGAAAGAGAACAGGACATACCATTACAAAACTTTCAAAAATGGGCGCAAGTGTTTCGTGGCTGTCGGGGATGTTATTTTCGAAGAAGGAGATTCGGATATTGATTTTGGGACTGGTAAGTGGTAGGCTGAAGGCCTCTTGCGGCACTCGAGGACTAGCAAAGAAGAAGGAAAGCTAATTCATCTGCGAATTGGTCAGGATAACGCTGGAAAGACTACATTATTATATAGGTTGAAGGTTAGTGGCTATAGACCTTGGCACTACAGGAGGATCTTTATGCTAATTGGAAACTGCAGATTGGGGAAGTGGTAACTACAATACCGACTATTGGTTTCAATGTGGAATCAGTGACGTACAAAAATCTAAATTTCAATGTTTGGGTAAGATCATATCTCCTCTCTTCTCTCTTCTCAAATCTGCCATTTAGCGATTCCTGACTAACTTGCTTGGTATAGGATCTTGGAGGACAAACGTCAATTAGACCATATTGGCGCTGCTACTACGCCAATACGGCTGCGGTAATATTCGTTATTGATTCTACGGACATTGATCGATTAGGCACTGCATCAGAAGAATTGGCAGCAATGCTGAATGAGGACGAGTTGAAAGATGCTGCACTACTAGTATTTGCGAATAAACAAGATCAACCGGGAGCGAAAGGTGCTGGTGAGATTTCCGAGGCGTTAAGACTAGGAGAGTTAAGGGATAGGAATTGGAGTATAGTGGCATGTAGTGCCGTAGATGGTAGTGGTGTGGATGAGGGGATGGATTGGCTTGTTGTAAGTGTTCCAATGTTTGGAAGTGACTTATGCAGTTAAGAAACAACAATACTGACATGTCAATAGCAAACTGTACAACAAGAGTCGTAATAGAAGAAGAAGATTCAGAAAACGACCGTGTGTACTATGATCACGGTACAATACCTAAACATCAGTTGAATAATTGACGGGAAGGATCAAACTGGAGTCCGGGGTACAAATCTCAAGCTCCATATTTTTGCTACACTCATGGATATGAAGAAGACCATCATCCTCGGAGGTATAATAGATGCATAGGCGTCTTTAAGCATCTACATCTGGGCCGGAAGCACTGTATTTGAATCTTTATTTGTAATTGAGCATCTAAGAATGATGGATTAGTGATGAAATTCATATTGACACGTAAGACACTGATCTGGCTAAGGGAATGATCTAGCTAAAGGTCTTTGAAAGCTACGCGACAACCGAGCACCTGATTCTCTTTTCGACAGCTGGTTACGTAGGACTGTACCTCTGCTTTGTGATACAATCGAGTCTGGAACTTTCGATTTGTCAATACTTGTTAGAAAGCTATACTCCGTAGATAAACTAATGAGGAGGCGAGGCCACGAAAGATCTCATGGATCTGGTCGATAGAGGTATGGCACATGGATAATTCAAATGGAACTTGCTGTGGTATATGTTTGTGGATCCCAGTGCACAGGGTAAGGTCTCTGAGCAGATTAAAATTCGAGGAGAGACAGGAAATCCCATACCCGTATTATAAAATGCCATATATGAAAGCTAGGCGAGGTAGGCGAGGTAGGCTAGAGAGCATTGTTGAAAGGAAACCCTTGATGATGTGAGAGAGTACGGAGTGTGGATGAACGTGACGAGCCAGCCACAACTTACAAGCGCAATATGATGGATGATAGATACCGAGATTCGGGATCTGATGATCAGAGTTACTAATTAGTTGGGAATTATGATTTGGGAACCTGGATGTTTTTTGGTACTTGTTAGATGGTTAAGTAGGTATCCATTGTTAGCTGGGAAAACCTTGGAATTTATCTTTGCTGGAATTTGGGATGGGATCTTTCTAGTATTAGATATTAGATGTTAGATGTTAGATGGTAGATATTAGATATTAAATGTTAAATATTAGATGTTAGATATTAGATATTAGATATTAGATGTTAGATATTAGATATTAGATATTAGATATTAGATATTAGATGTTAAATATTAGATGTTAGATATTAGATATTAGATATTAGATATTAGATATTAGATATTAGATAAGTTATTAAATATTAGATATTAGATATTAGATATTAGATATTAGATATTAGATATTAGATATTAGATGTTAAATGTTAGATATTAGATGTTAAATGTTAGATGTTAGATGTTAGATGTTGTAAAATGATAGAATAAGGGTTTTTTTATTTTGAATAGGATAGATAATGTCGGATGGATTACGACATAGACAGGGTAGAATTAGGTATCTTTGAGATACTCGAGTACCTGCTATACCACTGTACAATAATACCGCTGCTACTAGGCGGCGGATTCCACCTCTCGGTTGGTAAAGTAAACTTCCAAAGTCATTTCCTACCTATGCCGGGCCTTCCATATCCCAAGCTCCTTCTGGAAAGATGTTCCCGATGTGGTAAAAGTTACAAGCACCAATAGTACACATTGTCATACCCATGATACATACCTGGTATCCGAGGTCATGTTCACGAGTACATACAGATACCGTAACCGTAACATTCTCGATGTGTTATACAATTTACCCTCTGTTGTATGTAATGCCATGCTCACCATTCGTCGTCGGGGATAATTGATGCTCGGCATTCGAGCCATGTGCATCGCGATGTGGTTTTTGCTTGAAGAGTGGCCCACATTGGCTCCATGCATGATGCTTTGTGAATCGTGACATCGATGTGCGCATTGGAACTGGGATGTTGAGTAATTATTGACTTTGCGCGGACCAGGGAGGTGTTGAGAAATTTGAAGGTGGGGAGGTGACGGCATTGACGTGGTAGGTAGGCTCGGTAGGGTAAGATTTTGATGACCTAGGAGACTAGGAAGAAGGGTCATGGGAAAGTTGGAAACGATCCTTCAACAAAATGGAGATGAACTTTATGTGTGGAATCTTTGAACGTGAGGATATACTTTAGTATCGTCGTCGCGTTTATTTACTTTTGGTTTGATACTAAAGAAAATAGGGGTCAAGAACTAGATTTCCTAACACTTTGCTAGACAGAAACTCGTCCCTTGCCAAGCTGCTACGAGACTATAATCGATAAGGAAATGACGCTATGTATAGTGTGTAATTGCCTAGCATTTCAAAATGCGGAGAAGAAAGCACTAAATTAAACTCTGACAGAAAAAAGAAAAGGTCGAGTATTATGTATGTATGAATCCGGATGAATCCGTACGATGTAGACAGGTACCTAGGGATGTATCTAAATACCTAGTACCTAGGTATTGTGACCAGGAAGAGTTACGTGCTACCCCGAGTTATATGCATGAATGAAACGTTTTTAGGTGTTGTATATTGTAGATGTTACTAATCATGCAAACACTTCCCGATGAAGAATTCGAGGTACTATCTAGGTAGGTCGGTAGGTAGTAGGTAGCAGGTAGCAGGTAGTAGGAAGGTAGGTCTCCTCGACTGGAAATCATATATCTAGATGTGTAGATGTATGTGTGAAGAATAGAACGAAGAATAGAATCTCGTAGAAATATCCCTATAATCAAATGTTTTCTGCGTCTAGTTTCATTGGTATCTAGGTAGATGGTAACAAGCTAGATCGAAGAGTAGCGGAAAGACTCTTCCTTTCATCCCTATACTCAAGTACTCTGTAGATACAAATAGCTTTCATAATCAACTTTCCTGTATAAACTACTACCTGATCTAGATAAGTTTCCTTTGTGCGGAATAGTCCCCGATTAAACCCAAACAGTAAATCCCTTCATCTTTCTAATCAATCCCGTTCCAGACCTTGGGAGCTTTACTAATGCAAGCACACAGTTATCAACCCCCTCCTTTTAATTGGTTGCCACGAAAGGAGGGGTACTTTTCCGAATTTCTACTTATATATTTCCATTCCTCCATTTCCTGTGCCATCTTACTTTTGATTCATTCAATACATCAAAAATATCACAGTTTTCTACCATTTTGCCATCAATCATATCATCATCTAAATCCTCAACCATCTCAACTCTACTACACATACTATCTACCTGTGCAACAACACCAATACAATAGCAATCATGGTTGCTGACGATAAGCCCGCCTCTACCTTCAAGTACAATGAAGCTCCAGTCTATACTACTTCCAATGGATGTCCAGTGAGACACCCAGAGGAGTTTCAAAGAGTTGGTACCAATGGACCACTTCTTCTTCAAGATTTCCATTTGATCGATTTGTTGGCACATTTCGATCGCGAACGTATTCCAGAGCGTGTTGTCCATGCTAAGGGTGCCGGAGCTTATGGAGGTAAGTTCTTGTTTTTCGCTTCATTCTTTCCATCATCATCACATTAACATGTTATGTAGAATTCGAAGTTACACACGATATCAGTGACATCACCACCATTGATATGTTAAACCAAGTTGGCAAGAAGACTCCTCTTGTCGCCCGTTTTTCAACGGTTGGTGGTGAAAAGGGCTCTCCAGATTCGGCTCGTGACCCAAGAGGGTTCTCTGTCAAATTCTACACTGAAGAGGGTAATTGGGATTGGGTTTACAACAACACCCCCGTTTTCTTCCTCCGAGACCCAACCAAGTTCCCTCTCTTCATCCATACACAAAAGAGAAATCCTCAAACAAACTTGAAGGATGCTACCATGTTCTGGGACTACCTCTCAACTCATCAAGAGGCTGTTCACCAGGTTATGCACTTATTCAGTGACCGTGGTACACCATATTCCTACAGACACATGAACGGATATTCTGGCCACACTCACAAGTGGTTCAAGGCCGATGGTACCTTCAACTATGTTCAAGTCCACTTGAAGACAGACCAAGGAAGCAAGACTTTTACCAATGAGGAGGCCGGAAAGATGGCTTCGGACAACCCCGATTGGCACACTCAAGACCTATTCGACGCAATTGAGAAGGGTGACTACCCAAGTTGGAGCGTCTTCGTTCAAGTCCTTTCCCCAGAACAAGCTGAGAAATTCCGCTGGAACATCTTCGACTTGACTAAGGTTTGGCCACAGGGTGAGGTTCCATTGAGACCATTCGGTAAAATGACCCTTAACAAGAATGTTGAGAACTACTTCGCCGAAATTGAGCAAGTTGCTTTCTCACCATCTCATTTGGTTCCAGGTGTTGAGCCATCTGCCGACCCTGTCCTCCAATCTCGTCTCTTCTCATACCCAGATACCCACCGTCACCGTCTCGGTGTCAACTACCAACAAATCCCAGTCAATGCTCCTCTCCGAGCTTTCAATCCATTCCAACGTGATGGTGCTATGGCCGTCAATGGAAACTACGGCGCCAACCCCAACTACCCATCTTCTTACCGAAAACTCACTCAAAAGCCTGTCAAGGCTACCAATGATCATGAGCAATGGTCCGGTGCTGCTTTGAGCTTTTTGTCTGAAGTGGGTCCAGAAGACTACGTCCAAGCTAAGGGTCTATGGGATGTCCTCGGCAAGCAAGAAGGCCAACAAGATAACTTCATCGGCAATGTATCTGGACACTTGGCGGCTGCTAAGGAGGACACTCGTAAGCGTACATATGAGATGTTCAGTAGAGTCGACCCAACTCTTGGTGCCAAGATTGAAGAAGCAACTGAGAAGTTGGCTCCTGCTCCTGGTAGCAAGGCTGCTGGATCTGCCCAATCTCGCTTGTAGACTATAGTTGTTATATAGGATAAGACAAGGTAGGGAAGTTTTTCAGGTTGTGTTTTGCTTTTTGCGATGATATCTATGATTATTTTATGAGAGATGAAGGAATTGGGAACGGTGGTCGGATAGGTTATCTTGGTGGCTTCACAAAATTGGTTTTAATTTGCAATGACATACCCCTTTTACGATTTCAGAACCTTCAAAGATAATCATGCAATTTGGTGATATTCAAAAATTTGTTTTGATCGTTCTCATTGTCCTACTCTATTCAACTTCCGCCTTTCGAGATAATAACCGAATTCAAAAAAGTGATGTCAACTCAGCGCATTACCATTGCTCCGAATTTCCTTTCTAATCTAAAAATTTACATCCCTCTGCGCTTGAAACCACATTGTTAGTGTCTGCTTTTCCATACTAGATGGATATACTGGAGTGTTACTCGTAGGTGGTAAACGAACATTCGGAAACTTCTGAAGAATACGAAAAACCGCATACGACGTCTCCATAAGCGCGAAATCTTCATAAATCCCCATCCGATACCTTTTAATTCCGATCTTTCCGGACGAAAAATATTTGTGTCAGCGCTGTAGATGGTCCTGCTTCGATGAGTGAGATAGGGGATAGGGGATAGGGGAGAAACCTACGTCGGTGTCTTTGGGGAGGAGGAGGGGAGAGCTGCTGTTGGGACTGTGGCTATGCAGGAGGAATGTAGTTTGGAGGGCGACGCGAATGTTGTGGGATTTGGGGGTGCAGTCGGGAGGGGGAGGGGGGGGTAATTGGTAGGTCGTGGGGGTAGTTATGGGGGTAGGGGATAATTACTTTCATTCAAAACACATTTCAGAAATGGCATTTTAGATATTTGCGCCCGCGAAAGTGGTGTATCGTTGGAAGTGACGAGGTTTATTTCTTCACGGAGACGCTTGAGTGTGTTCAAGTGTCGAACGAGATTAAAATTGTATTTTTCCACATCATCAGTCATCAATCTTCATCAATCCTTGTCACCATCACAATTATCATAATCATAATAACGATCATGACCCCAAGAAACCGCCTCACAGCACCCAGTACTCACAAAATCCAGCTCAAAAAATACGCCGTGGTATCTCTCCCGGCGAGCAAAACATGCAGTAACTGATCCCTCACAAGTCCCACATCCCTCAACTCCTCGTACAAATCGAGGATAAACGGATGCCGCTACATCGCCGCATCTCCATTCTCTTTTTTGTCAGTCAGAGCTTCATGGACGAAGTTCTCGGCGTATTGTTTGATCTACCGACAGGCGGATATGTATTTAGGGGATGTGTAGAGGTAGCAGAGATTGGAGAGACGCAGACGGAGAGCGGAGATTAGAGTGCAGTATTATGAGCAATTTTGGGAGAAGAGGACGGTCGTGTTAGGATTGGGAGAGTGGGGAGGAAGAAGAAGAAGAAGAAGAAGAAGAAGAAGAAGCTCCCTCCTCAAAAAGAAGCGAAATCGTAGTTTCGAGCGTGAAACGGAAAAATAGAGGTTGGAGAACGATAATTCCCTTTCCGGTAGTGGAAGTGAGAATTGTGAGGAGTTCTTCGAGGGGGGGCGGAAAATATCTCGAGGTTTGGGAATTGCGATGTGATGCGATGCGTGAGAAGTTGCGACGGAGGAGTGAGCGGGAGCGTGACTAGGAGTGGGAGTCTTGCGTGAAGATTCCTTCGCCGATCATGGGGTAGAGTCCTGCGCGGCGGGAGCCGAGGCCAAAGTCTGTGTTGTGTTGGATACCATATCAAAGGTACATATCATATACTTCCGCACGAAAACAAAAACAAAAATAAAAAGACTATCAACCACTAATCCTCCCCCCCCCCCCCCCCAACATACCCTCCAAATTCACTGGATCCATCGCAAAAAACTCCATCTGTCACGAAAGTCTTACTTGAAACGTCGATCCTAAATCTATTTTTTTCAAAATATTCGGCTTGGAAAGAGAGCAGATGGCCGGAGGAAAAAGCATCGTATTGGCGTTTAGGGATATCGAGACCGAGGGGCCATGCGTGGTGAAGGCCTTTTTGAGCGGGTTGACAGGAGTGAAGGGTGCTGAATTGGGTGTTGAGCTGGGGTTTGGGGTTAGAATGGGGGTTTGGATTGGGGTTTGAGGAGAGGGGGAAGGGGGAAGGGGGAAGGGAGGAGAGGGGGGACGTACGGCTTGTTGACGTCGTCGCTTGAGGAAGATGAAATATAAGTATCAGAGGAGGATGAGGATCAGGATCTTGAATATCATATCTGCGACCTGATGGGGTTTGTTGGATGTTTGGTCTATGTGGTGAGGAGATTCTGGGTATTGATTGTCTCCCTGGTACTATTACCAAGACTTTGTGACTCGATTTGAGTGTCAATATGCTGATTTGGTGTATTCATTGGTTCGTAGATGTAGGAGTATATGCGATACATTATAGGATGCACATCGAACAGGAGGAATAGTTCAACTGAGCGGTCGGACTACCTTTCATCAAAGTTCAGCATCATACATTCATACGCACACACGACACCGCACTTCCGCAGTCCTAACCTCCCGAGCCGAATCGGTATATCGTTATATGTGACTTTCACATCCTCCGTGTCTGGATGGGTTTAAAGTATTAAAGTACTAAACTACTAAAGTAATATATCTCATCTTCCTTCGCTTGTGTAAATGAAACTTGAGACTGGAGACTTAAAATTCGGTGAGGATGAGGGTGAAGGTGAGGGCGAGGGTGAGGATGAGGGTGAGGGTGAGGGCGAGGGTGAGGGCGAGGGTGTAGGTGATGGTTGGATTTGATATGCTGAGTATGTATTCAGATAGAGAAATAAATTTCTAGATTTCTAGGTATTACATGAAGAAGCACATCGAGATGAATTTTCGAGATTAAAGTCTGATTGTAATTTTATGCTCAGACTCATGTTCATTCTCATACTAATTTTCATCCCCAGACTCATGTATAGAACTACAGTTCACGAATCGAAGATCAAGGTAGGCAGTAGGTAGGAAGAGATATTATTCCGGGAAAATCATATATCCCATATCCCATATCCCGCAACTATACTAACCATACTTTACCATATATGGCACAGCCCACAACTTACAGTTTACAGTTTACAGCTTATAGACAAAGACAAAAAAGAAATAAAATAAAGTATCAAATACCAAGTATCAAGCACCAAGAACAATCCACACATAACATAACATCCATTCACAATCTCAACAATAATCCAAAAACTCCATGCTCTCTGTTTCCTCTTTTCTCTCCTCCCTTCCAAACCCAACAAATCTCCATATTCTTTCGCTCCTCGATCCCTAGAGCCACGCTGTACTCTCTCACCACCCTCCAACCCAACCCATCCCTCCCCCAATCCCTCAACTCTTCAAACCTTCACCTACCTAACCACATAAAATAAAAACAACCCAGCCATCCATCCACAATCCACCCACTCATCCATCCACAATCCACCCACTCACAACCACCCAGCCACTCAGTAACCAACCAAACCAACCAAATCAACACAAAGACTCACGCCCAAGTATATATATACCCAGAACTCCCGAACTCCCCAACTCCCCAATCCAAAAACATCACATGCAGCTTCAAGCCTGTACTCCAAATTAGGACAGAACAGAAGAGAGTTGAAGATTCAATGAGTACCTAATTGATGACAAGTTTTGTAGTTTGGTGGAGAGAAGAGAACCTTTCCGAGTTATAGTTATAACTGGGCTGGTGAGGTGAGGACGCCAGCGAGGATATCAGTGAGCATGCTGACGAGGATATTCATCAGATCGGTGACGTGGATGATAACAATGGAAAGTACAATTGTAATATCTATAGCAGGAAGAACACAACCCAAAACTCACTTTTCAGAAAGAGCAACTTGCAGTTTCAAGGAACTTATAGGAAGAGACATGCTTCCCAAACTGCATTCACAAAATCACATATTCACATCATGAAAAAAGACATAATATAATGTTGAAAACCAGTTGCAATTGTGTGATACCTGTATGGTTGAGTGTAGACTATCTATGTAATATCCTTTATTGACATCCTGTCTACACTTCAGTATCCTCATAGAACGCCCCCCCCCCAACTGTGTGTATGTACACACTGTAATCCCTAATAGAAAAAAAAGACTAGGAAATAGACCCCCCACGCCATGAAAGTGTATGAACCTGGACTTTCGGTTGGTAATCAGAAACAATCAGAGAACTCCCCCCATGCTACTGAAGCTAACCATCACCCCACATTTATAAACAACCCCCAAATCGTGATGGTATCAAACGGTAACCCACGGTAATTATTTTGTTATGATATCTTAACGGTCCTCAGCCCACTCGTTCTCGCGGCGGATTTGCTCCTCCTCCTCAGGAGTGAAGTCATTGGTGATGTTGAAAGTCTTGCGGATTTCCTCTGGAGACTTTCCCTTGATCATGTTCGCAACAGTCTTGCATCCTACATCGAGGAGAGCCTTGATGTCGAGGTAGTTGGCAGCCTAATGGTAAATTGTTAGAAATGGTCAAGTATCTTTGTTTCAGAGAAATATAACTTACAAGGATGATTTCAAACAACATCTCTTGATCGACTTGCATGAATTTTTGGTCCCACTCCTCAATGTCGGTGGTCTTCTTGCGACTATCTGAATCATCGTCGGCAGTTGGGGCAGGGTCGTGCTTGTGGTGGTCAGCCCACTCGATGACTTTGCGGAGGACAGCCTCATTGACCTGTAAAGAGAAAGAAAGATTAGTTTAATATTCAATGAGAATAAAGATGAAATGATGTCAGAGAAACTTACATTAGGGATTGGGACTGGAGTCTCGAGAACACCATCTCCAAGATCATCCAACATGTTCTTGATCAACATGGAGCGCTCAGCGACAGATCGCTCTATTGATGAAAGTTAGCATTCATTGTTAAACTCGGTCTGCGGGTTGGGTTTGGGCTCGAGTTGGGTTTGGATAGTAGGCGGGGTAACTTACCGACGACGACTTCAACATTGTCATTGCTGACGAGCTTGATGGTAGTGGAGGTACCTTCAGACATTTTGAAAGAAGTTATTATTTTCTTTGAGTTAAGATGGTGGTTATGGGAGTTTATTGTGTGTTGGTGAGATTGTAGAGTAGAGTTGTGTTGAGTTGTTTGTTACGTTGTTGGATGTATGTATTAATGAGAAGGAGGATTTTGAATGGGAATTGAAGGCGCCTTTATGTCAGGCCTTGTGGTCGCTTAGCCTGCGAAAATCCCAGTTCAAAAAGTGTAGTATGTATTAGGGATTTTAGTACGTCCTAGTGTTTTTTTTTGGAGTTGGTCTCCAAAAGTTAATAAAAGTCATCAATCACAGCTAGACAATATTAGAGTCTCGAAAGTGAATAGTCATTGCCATAAGTGAAAAAGTGAAAAATTAATTGGTGTAAATTGAATGTCGGGGAAAGGTAGGGAAGTAAGTAGCTGTAGTAGCCTTCTATACGGTGAATAGACGATCGGTTGCCTAAAAATACATGATTGAGTCACTGATGATCATATCATAGGACAGGAAGCACGGTTTGGAAGAATACCAAAGTATCTAGTATCTACAGCTACCTAGCAAACAATCACCCTTTCCCTCTTGTAAATTGTACAGTTTGCATTGCACCAGGTCAATCCATAGCAAGCAGCGTCTATTGTGGATTGGCGCCTTTCTCATCATCAATCACAGCAAGCGCTACCTGATGGAAGCCTTGACATGTATGTTGTGTTTGGTTCGAGTCGGTGAAGCTTGGATCTAAACGTGCACTGTACTCTTATGATTGGGGGCAGAGTTAGACTACGAAGCACGACATGTAGGATAGAGTGGCTGGCTTTTCCATGGGTTCTCAGCCTTGTCTGGTTTCTGGCTTTACTCCGCTCACAGCATAGCTAGCAGAACATGTGATATGTATGTGTGGTAGTATCATGCAACTTATAGATAGAGTACCTCTCTAAGTAATCTAGTAGGAACTGGGTAGGAACTAGGTAGGAACTAGATAGGAACTGAGTAGGAACTAAATAGGAACTAGATAGAAACTAGATAAGATCTAAATAGGAACTAAATAGGATCTAGATAGGAACTAAATTATAACCTAGAGAAGAAATAATGTGCTATACTCACACAAGAAAGGTAGGTAGAGTTTTACTCGTTTAATGATTTCATCATTTCATCATCTCATCAAGAAAAAGTCGTCAAGAGGTTTACTATGATTACCTAGATTCCCTAGAGTATCTCGTACCTATCCTGTCAAGTAATAAGTTTGTTCTAGCTGATCCCTCGAAAGTCTTCTTTTGATAGTGCTGAGTACATTATCATTCTATCATTCTATATCTAACCCACTGAGTACCTATACAAATGCAAATCATATTCAAATTCTAAGACGATACAGGTAGAGGTAGGGATTATTCCTCCACGGACCTGTTAAGAGTCCAAATGGATGCCAGTACTTTTAGTAACATTATAGGATAACCTTACCTAGGAGCTGTCTTTGTGTAACATTATCATTCTAAACCTCATCTCATCATCTCATCATCTCATCATCTCATCTTCTCATCTTCGCATCTTCTCATCTTCTCATCATTACCCCTTTGAAAAACAAAAAAAAGTACAAAATATCTTGTACCATGACTAACTTCGTACAAATTGCATCCGGAATAAAAGGAGCAATATCTTCGGTAATAAATACGATTGGTCAGCCCATTCCAAATCTCCTGTCATTCCGAGATTGCTGATCTCCATCATTCATTCCCCCCCAATGCCATCCTTGAAAATGGAAAATAAAAATAAAAAGGTAAAAGGTAACACAACACAACACAACACGAAACTTTCCTTTCCAACTGTTTCCGTTTGATAAAGTATCAAACAACCCATATTTCTCATACTTACTATCAGTGTTTGGAGTGTTCTTTGGTTTTCTCTTCCCATTTCCAATGACCTCTTTCTCTGTTATTATCCTTCTATCGCGTTTGCGAATACTTCTTTAATTTAATCCAATTTTTCTTCACATTCTCATTCTCATTCTTCCAACGTATGCCCTAGGTGAATATTAGAAATGCCTTTCTTCGGGCGTGCGTACTTGTTTCTTCTTCTTTTACGAGTTTGGTTTGCCTTTTCTCCAAGTTATCTACACCCCGATGAGAATTTTCAAGGTCCAGAGGTTATAGCTGGTAAGTTTCACATTATTTTATGGTGTAGCTCCCCCTTAGCTCCGGCAGATATTTCCAGTCGGCATGTCTTCAAAGGGGGGCTCCTTGCATGAAATCCAATCTACAAAGCATCTCTGCTAACAACCTGCAGGTCAAATCTTCAGCTATCCTGTCAAGTTAACCTGGGAATTTACATCCGAAAATCCGATTCGAAGTGTCTTCCCATTATGGCCTATTTATGGTCTGCCAATGCTACTCCTTCGATGGCTCTGGGTAGGAAATGGAAATGATGGGGAAATTCCTCCAATAGCGGTGTTCTTCGCCTTGCGACTGTTGATGTTGACTTTGAGTTTTGTTCTTGGGGATTGGGCGATTTGGGAATTGGCTGAATCAAAAAGACACTACAAAGTTGCAGTCTTACTTGTGGCATCTTCATACGTTACCTGGACATATCAAACACATACATTCTCGAACTCGATAGAAACATTGGCAGTCGCATGGAGTCTGATTTTGATACAAAAAATCACGGCAGTGAAGGTAGGAAGATGGGGAGCATAAGTCAAAATTTGGAATATGAAGCTAACTGTCGTAGAAGCATACTTCCGTATCACTATGCGGAATCCTTGCTTTCGTTGTGGTTTTTGGGATATTTAATCGCATTACCTTTCCCGCCTTTCTGTTCATTCCGGGCCTTCGTCTATTACCACATTTCAAGAGAAAGTAGGGTTTTTGACCCCCCTGTGTTACTCTAGCTAATTCTTGAATAGGCCCTTTTCGCTCGTTTCGATGATACTCTTCGGTCTTATTGCTACATTCATTGCCATCTCTTTGGATACGAACTTCTACGCCAAAGTTCCTGTCACCTGGTCCTATCTTTTCTCCCATCCAACAATTACTCCATTTAATAATTTAAAATATAATCTTGCGCCGGAAAATCTTGCGCTTCACGGCCTACATCCATGGTATCAGCATAGTCTAATAAATCTCCCACAACTATTGGGACCTGCCACAATACTTCTCTTCTTACGGCCTGTGGCTCCTCTTCGACTTTGCTCTGCCATCTCGGGTGTTGTTGTTCTTTCATTTTTCAAACACCAAGAGGCACGCTTTTTGCTTCCAGCCATTCCTTTAATATTATCATCTGTAAGATTACCCAAGTCAGGAATTTCTTTGCGTATCTGGGTTGGTTTGTGGATTTCCTTTAATGTTTTACTGGGTCTTTTGATGGGTGTATATCATCAGGGAGGAGTTGTCCCAACTCAAGTATTCTTGAGTAAACAACTAGACGCCACTCATGCTTTGTGGTGGAAAACTTATAGTCCACCAATTTGGCTACTGAACGGCAAAAACGAAGTGCTCGACACTCATGATCTTATGGGCATCAGAGGAGAGCTCATGATAGAAGAGGTTAGCAAACTAGCAACTTGTCTTCCAAAATCCGGAGAAGAGCTTACAGAAGCTACCTATCTTATTGCACCCATATCCGCCACTTTCCTAGATGAATATACGGAAAATCAAACAGATCTGTACTTTGAGGAAATTTTCACATCTAAAAAGCATCTCAATCTGGATGATATGGATTTTGGGGATGATGGGTTCTGGAGTACGATCACGAGGGTGATTGGGAGGAGAGGAATTACGGCATGGAGAGTTACGAGGAGATGTCAGGAAGGAACGAAGGATATGGATGAACCGGGGGATATCTCCGATAATGGAGAAAGTAGTTAGTTGTGGAGAGCCTATAAATAAATGTTCTTTTGTTTTTGTTTTGTTCTCAAAATGAGGTTATCTTGACATTCTGCGATGCAGCTCACCTTTATCCGGTTTCAATATTCCGGGGTTTATGGTCTCGGTAAGTACTCTCTCTACCCGTGAGAAATCATCCTCCCCAGCTACCAAGCTTGACTGAACTAATAAATCATTCAATGTAGACCAGATGTCGAAATACAAAATGTGAATAGCATGAAATGATAATTGGTAAGGCATTTCTGGAGAGAGCCGTATCAAATCTTGCAAATCTTGCAAAAGTGGTGAATTCGTCTTCATTTCTGTTCGTTCATTCACTTCCAAAACGATTATTTTACGGTCATGGCAGTGGTGATTTCATTGAATGCCATACGCTCGCCTCGTGAATTGGAAACTGGGCCCGTACCATGCTTCCTTTTTTATTTATTTATTCATCCATTTGTTACTTTCTACATACCACAACACTGAAATCTCGGTTCTTTTATGAGACAGTTTGAGAATATTTCAGCAAATTCTAGTGTGAAATTTTCAAGATAACTTCGAATAATCAAGTAACCCTTCAGAATGCCACTTCTCGCTCTTTCCAACGAACTTCTCAATGCGATCATCGGATTCTCTGACTTTAGTGGTGCACGCGAGCTCTGCAAGAATTGCCATCTGCTAAGCGAACTTGCTACGCCTTATTTGTATTCTACAATTACCTTCGATAACAAGACTGAAGAAATTTGTCCACAGGATCCTTGCCACTACCTCTTCCTTCGCACTATAGTCAATCGCCCTGATCTTGCAAAATTCCCAAAAATCTTCCAATGCGTGTGGTTTCTTCCTGCACAACTCGAAACCATCTGGAGACGCTTCCATCCCAATCTAGGTGATAGATCCGATCCCGCTACCAGCTTATGGAATCTCATTCGGATCAAGCTCGATGAGGCCAGCGCTAGCGAAAAACAAGCCAAACTTTGGCACAAAGCTATCTTTGGATTGGGGGATAGCAGAGCACCCGGTAGTGACGGTATTTTCGCATGCATTGTATGTTTTCTCCCCAATCTGAAGGAGATTCATATGTCCGAGGGAGATTTTAAGTGTCGTGGAAATGCAGGTACTATTGACCCTACAGCAGAGTTCTTCGCCCCTATGTTTGCACACGCAGTAGCACTTCAGACAAAGCAGAGAGCATCGGAACATGAAATCTCGCCATATTCTATGTCTAAATTGAGATCCATGTCAATAAAGAATTTTTCGCATGATCATGTACCACTTTCAAAAATTGTACATCGTCTTGAATTGCCATCACTCAAAAAGTTCGTCGTCCAAGACGCCTATGACCTCTTCCCGGAAATCCCCTACAGCATTCCCGAAACATTTAACTCTCGAGTCCAGGACCTGCAATTTGAGCGCAGTGTGTTCCACCCTGAAAATTTGAGAAGACTCCTGAGCGCCTGTCCATCACTTCGCAGGTTTGCATTAGAGCACACCAGCATCAGCGTCCCGTTTTGTTCCACTGAGATGATTAACGGTTTAATGGCCAGTAAGGAGACACTCGAATTCATTGAGGCTAGAGTGGCAAGTGAACACATTCGCCCCCATTTGGTTGACACTGGATCATTCGGTCGACCTGGTTCATTTGCAGACTTCCCAAAATTGAAGGAGATTGTTGTCAGCGCTGGAGCCATCCTTGATCACTCAATAAATAAAAACACATCTGCAGAGACGGACAGTGGTTACGATACTGACGCTTATCACACAAGAGCCTTCTTACAACGCATCCCTCAAAGTCTCCAAAATCTCATAATGAAAGACTGCTACTCTTTTGATCTCACGACATTTGCAGCAGTTTTGGCGTTGGTCAGAGAGAAGGAAATATATGCTCCAGATCTCAAGTACATCAGCTTGACGTGGCGCGGTATTCACTCTTCAGAACATCGTCCGGGCAAAATTGATTTGATCAAGGCATGCAAGGAAGCAGGAATTGAATTGGGAGTACATTTCAAACATTACTATTTGTAATAGGTAATCGATAAATCACCAGGGAGCTACAAACGGTATTGGCATCTTTCTCGAGATATAATGTCAATTTGAACATGGCATCTGCAGAGATAGATGGAAGTTTAGCTTATGGAATCTGTCCATCATTTTTGAACAAATGCGAAGGACTCGTCATTGCTAAATGCTCTCGAGGTCCTCATGTATGTAAACAAACACAATATAATTAAACTTTAAAACTTCAGTAACAAAATTCTCATGCATTATTTCATATGTGTTTGTGCTATGAGCATCTCGTCACCCTTTCGCAACCGCTACTTTGACCGAAGGCTGGATAACTGGATCATCCAGAGCCTTTTACTTATTCGAGAGCATTAGTTTCTCCCAAAATAGCTTCCATTTCTTTGTAAACTGTCTCTTCCCAAAACCTTTTCAACGTTGGTATTGAAATAGAGAATCTTTGGTGCTGTACATTTTCATGTAAGTCTATCATAGACCAACAATTACATCCAACCTAAATTTCTTACCCTTGAGAGCCTCGGCTCATGCGGTAAACACACCCGCCTCCACCCCGCATTACGCTAATTCCCCATACTTTTTGATACTTTATTAGGACTTTTCAATTATTCCGGATAGCCTTCACATGTTTTAATAGTTTCATAATAACATCTTCCTAGAATTCCCAAATCACGCATTATTAAGACCTGACCCAAAAGAAATGCCATCCTCAGTTCCAATTCCCTTCTCCGAGCCTCCTTGGCTCATGGGTTTACCATCTCCATATTACAATGCTTCACATCGCAAATGGCAAAAAACATGTCAAGCGCTTGTTTCTGAACTACTAGGTGAAGCAGGTGAATGGGAAAAAGAAGGAGATGTACCCGGTACACAATACTCATCCTAAAATCTCCAATTACACATCTCCAATATAAATCTCCACCCAAATCAATACTAACCAACACATCCAGAGAATCTCTACCAAAAGTTCGCCAGCGCCAACTTCCTCATCCCCAATCTCCCTTCTCCGCTCCCTGTAAAATGGCTCAAAGAACTCGGGATCACGCATCTCCCCGGAGACCTCCCAGTCGAAGAATTCGACTACATGCACACCCTCATCTTCACAGATGAAATGCATCGGTCTGGGTCTCTCGGGCCCTCCGGCGCTATAACCACCGGATTCGCATTCGGGGTTCCCCCCATCTTAAAATTCGGTTCCCAAGCCCTGCAAGCTCGTTTCCTGCCGGATCTCCTCACCGGGAAAAAAAGAATTTGTATAGCGATCACCGAGCCCGGCGCCGGAAGCGACGTTAGCGCGATTGAAACCACTGCGCGGAAAAGCGAGGATGGGAAAGAATGGATCGTCGACGGGACTAAAAAATGGATTACTAATGGTCTCTGGTCTGATTATGCTACTATGGCTGTGAGGACGGGTGGACCGGGGCCGGGAGGTCTCTCGCTTCTCGTTGTACCTTTACTACAACATCCCGGGGTGACGATGCGCAGGATCAAAGTAGGTGGACAGACAGCTGCAGGAACGACATTTATCGAGTTAGATAACGTGCGGGTACCGCGGGAGAATCTGATTGGAGTCGAAGGAGCAGGCATGAAATACATAATGCAGAATTTCAACCACGAGCGCCTGAGTATCTCGATTTCAGTGAATCGCATTGCGCGCACAGCGTTAAGCCACGCATTTGAATATGTGATGAAGCGGAAAGCGTTTGGGAAAGTGCTGATGGAGCAACCGGTTGTGCGGAATCGCTTGGCGAGGTGTGGTGCGGAACTTGAGAGTCATTGGGCGTGGATAGAAGGGTTTACGTGGATGATGACGCAATTGGGAGAAGAGGATGCGAATCGCGAGTTGGGGGGCTTGACGGCGTTGGCGAAGGCAAAGGCGGGGATGGTGCTGGAGAGTTGTGCGTCGACGGCTGTGTTGCTTTTTGGGGGGAATGGGTATACGAAGAGTGGGATGGGGGAGGTGGTGGAGAGTTTGTGGTTCCTTTTTATTTTGCCTTTGCTTTCCTTCCCTAAACCTGCTTTCTAAGCTCAATCACCCGTGTTTATCCCCATCACAATCCCTTCACGTCCTCCAGATACTAACTGAGTAACTAACACCCTACCCACCCCCTCTAGGAATCTTCCGCGAAATCCCCGGCGCCCGCATCCCCGGCGGTAGCGAAGATGTCATGCTCGATTTGTCTATCAGACAACTAGTCAAGAATTATCAGTTGAAGATGAAGAATGAAGTTGAGAAAGCGGGGTTGGAGAGGCCGGGGGGAGGGTTGAAATTGTGAGGGGGGAAGAAGGGGAAAGAGGAGAGCGAGTTGGATTGATAAATGAATAAATGGATGAATCGAAATAAATTAAAGCAACCCAAATCATAATATGAATACCTACCTACCTACCTACCTACCTCTGTATATAGCAGAGACTTTCCACATACAACCTTAAGTTCGAGTTCGAATACTATATCATTGTATCACGTATAACATATGATATAATACATACATACATATCCATATCCATATCCACATACATATCTATATCCGCACACTACGCTTCATGAACCAAGTACCCAAGTATCTGAGTATTCCAAGGTTCAACTCATACTCTACCTAGATCTCTTTCTCTTTCTCTTTTCCTCTCTTCCTCCTCCTCTTTCCCCTCTCTCCCATACAGAAATAGCATGGCATAGCATAGTATAGCAAATCAATCCACCCAGAACAGAAAAGAACAAATCAAATCAAATCAGATAAAATCAGAAATATCACTTATCACTTATCACTTATCACTTATCACTCGTCACTCATCGCACATATCAGAATCATCATCATCATCATCATATTAGCAACCTCATTACTAGTTCTATCCTCCAGTTCCAATTTCAATTCCAACCTCCAACTCAACTCCCCTCAACTACCTACTATCTCTCTCTTCCTCTCCCATTAACAAGCCCACCCTCTCACTCACTCTCTCACTCAAACACCATTCGTATTCACAGATACATAATTATCCATTCAATTATTACAGTGAACAAAAATTTCATATTCATCACTCTCATCATCATAATCATCATACATACGAATACCGGTACGTGCGCAGAATCTCTGTCTTTGCAGTAGCTTAATCGAACAAAACAATGAAGCTAGAAAGATGATGATTCTTTTTCCTCCTGGTTATATTTTTGTATTTTGTTTGTGTTTCGTTGGTTGGTTTGATATGGTTTGATTCGGGGTGTGTGATTCATTTCGAAGTTATAGGAGCTGGATATCGTATCTGGTGTATTTCGAAACAGGGGGGGGGGGGAAGTTGGGTATCATTCGTGATTCTTTGCGTGTTGGGCGGAAAAGTAAAATCTCATAGACAGTAGTAGTACAATACTGTCCCAAAGCCACTCTCATCATCAGTCCGAAATCTCAAATCGGATTATGCATCGGCGGCAGCACATCACCATGTAACCTCGGTGTTCTCTCCAAATCCCCACTCCTTCCTCTCACAGTCCCCTCATCACTTCCACTCGCACCACCCACTGTACTCGTTCCCGCGCTCGTGGCTGTGCTCAATCCCCTCTTCATCATCTTCCCCAGAATACTCACTAATTCTGCCGCATCTTCAAACATATCATCGTCCATTCCCTCATCCGCATTGTAGACTTCGTTAATCGTCTTCCGAGCCAATTCTCTCGATCGATTCGCTTCATCCAGACAATCATATATAAATGCTGTATATTCGACTTTTACAGAAAGACGCAGAGGGTGCGAACCCCATAGTTGGCGATCGGCAAGGATAGATGCGTCTTCGAAACATTGGGTTGCGAAGGGACGGTAATCGAAAGCGGGGATGAGGAAACTTCCTGTGATATCTGGTGCTGGAAGAGAGAGACCGGGTGGTCCGCCGACGGGGCCGCCTTCGAGAGCGTGGGTTAATTGAATGCTGTTAGGACGATGTGGGTCGGGTGGTGGGGTATTGTCGATCCCTTTGCCCTTTTCTTTGTAGCGTGGAGATGTCAAACCAGGTGGTGTGGAGATCTTGGGAGTTCTGAGAGTGATCGCAGGAGTATTGTGGAAGAGAACATAGAGATGATAATAACTAGCTCTCAATTTATAAACGAGGACTTTCAACTCTCCGAATCCTGCCACTAGAGGTAGAACGTACTGTTCTAGAATTTTCAAACCTTCTTTCGCATACCAAATGATTCGAGTATATAGTTCGACGGATTTTGTATCACGGGTTGTATCGAGTCGTCTGAGTTTTCGCGCCTTCACAACCATTTTCGAGAGCATGGTGAGGTTTCCCAAAATCTGAAATAAATTTTGAGCCAGCAGTGGATGGTCCAATTGAATATTTTTGGCAAACTGGCCAAGGAACTTTGTGTCGACCTCTGAGGATGCCATGGTGATGGTTGGTGGAAGTGGAATAGCGTGAAAGTGGGCGTGAAAATGTGTACAGAAGATTGAGAGAGAAAACAGAGATTCTCGACGAAGAAAGCTGACGATAGAATCAATTGCTAGATTGTGAATCTGCTCGATATAGTATTGGTTGCGTGATGAAAGAGAGCGCGTCGCCGCGACAAATTAAGAGCAGTATAGACCACCAATTAAACAGCACCAGTGATGGGATCTTCTGGTGGACTCGTATATAGAGAGAATAAAATAAATCCAGCAAAGAATTCGACGACACGATCCTGTGATGCATCCAACAAGGTCTTGCCAAATTCGACCGTGGGCGTGATTCAAATGACTTGAAATAATTTCGAATTCACTTCAGCAACCCCAAATGAACAAAAATCCTTCAGATCACCACCTCCTTTCAATAAGCGTCCTTCCAGTTCTATCTTCACAATGTTGTCGTCGGTCCTATATTCGAATGCGTCCAAATGGTTTGATTGTGTGTGGACAAGGCGCAAAATAAAAATTGGGATATCGTGGAGAATTGAAGGGTGTGAAAAAGATAAAATTCGCCCAGCCGAGTGAATCAATTAACGACAGAGGAACGAAAGGAACAAAAGGACCGAATAATCTGAA